GTGCAGCATTTGGTTTAAACGCGCACCTTGTGGGGCAACAAATAACGTTAATACAACTGGAATTTCTCCTAAGGCGCTCGTAACAATTGCAATGTGGCTTGTAAGCTGGGTTCGTATGTCAAGTATGTGAGCTCCCTATAATTACCGGGATCTGCATATCACATGAATCTCACCGTAACCGGTATCCCACCGGGATCGGTAACCCACTGGATCGGGATCCCACCGGGATCAGAATCTCACCGAAACGGGATCCCACCGGAATCAGGATCCCACCTCATTGGGATCTCATTTAGTTTGGGATACCACCGGAAACGGATTTCACCGGGATCGATATCTTACTGGGGGGATCCCACCATGACCAGGATTCTATCGTAATCACATCGGGTTCGGGATCCCATCATGATCCTTCCGGGTGCCATCGGAAAACGGGAAAAACGAAAAGTTTACATAAGTTATTTTAAGTGTTTTTATAGGAGACAAATTAATTATTATTATTTTTACTATAGTGTTGTTTTGTTGTTGACATTTCGTTTAATAGCAATGTGAACTAAAAGGACGTAGCAGATGGTTTTTTTCTGAATGCAGCCCTGGGCAGCTCCGGTTATAGTTGATAGTAATAGTTATAAAATAAATACATCATTTATTTTAACTAGATTCATCCAATTGGGCAACTTTTATAAAGTATCTTTAAAGACAGAAGAGTTATCCTTGAATAACCACAACGGCTCCTTAAAACACGAAAGATTCATAAAAATGTACATTTTTTATCTCGTAAAATTTGTTAAATTGTTATTGTATTCCAATAAAAAGATGGTATATAACTCTTAAAATACTTTTTATAAAGAATTAACATAATTTTACACAGGAAAATAAGAGATTCAAACAGAAATAATATACGCACCTGAACTGCACTTTTACCACTAAACTTTACACTTCACTAAAACTAAACCTTGGCTGAAAAATGTATCCCTAAGCCTAACCTAACCTGAACCATAAATGTATCCCTAAACCCAACCTGAACCCTAAATGTGTCCCTAATGGCACCAATTCTCTGCATTAGCCATTACTACATATATTATATATTGAAAAGGGCGCTGAAAAGCATAAATTTTATACTAGGCTTAGGCTCTGAAGTCTGTAGTGTTTATAGTCTTAGTCGATCTGAATAGGCCTAAATGAAATTGATATTAAATAGTCATTGATTGACAGATCTCAGTCTCAGATAGTTAAATTAACTTTAACAAATACGGACAAATAGTGCGCAAGATATACGTCCGGCGGCATGTCACGTGACCGCCGGACGGCTAGTAGTTTTTATAATTCCAAACGAAGTGCAGTTTGGTAGATCTTGTGTGGTCTACTGGTAGAGTGGTAGCTTGACGATATTATGATTTGAGGATCGATACTGGGATAGGATCGTTTTTTTTTTCTTCCCATTTTAATTAAAAATATTTTATACTATATTTATATTATCATGTTTATCAGCAACAGTGGTTTCATGAGAAGTATTTAAATATTTTGTAACAATTTAAACAATTTAAAATGAAATCTTTTACTTTTATTGGTTGCCAACTCCACATTGGCCCCTAATTTATTTTATGGATTACTGGTACACAAACTCAAATAACAAACTAAACAAAAATGTTTACAAGCCACTTTCACTTAAGTTTTTTTTTATTATTTGCATTCAAGATACTCAATACATTACTTGGTAGAGAAATAGATTTTAAAATTATTAATAGTTTTGAATCATTCGCAGTCAACGTGACAAGGCTGACCGACAAGATATCTCTTGTTACGGCGGTCATGTGACTTGGTCGCCGGACAAATAGTGCGGGAGATATACGTCCGGCGCGCCGGACATGTAGACACTGCCATAACTAATAAATAACTTAAATAAATCTAACAATTAAAAAAATAATGTTATAAGGCCTATAAGCTATATTTTTATTGGTAGACCTACTTAGTTTAGTTTTTAGACTTTGCATGTCATTGTCATACTACTCATACATATGTCACTTTAGTCATTTACTTTGAGTACTCGAGTTGAGTACTTTGACTTATGATAATTATCATTTATGATAGTGAAAATTTCAAAACTGAAACATTTCATAAATCAGTGTTCAGAGTAAAAAAATCAAATTTCAAACATTTGTGTTTGACTTAATTGGTTGACTTTGTCGACTTGGTTGACTTCGTCTGTGATTTCATGACATCATTTGGCTAGCTGTATTATAGTAATGGATGTGGGTGCTGAGTGGTCTAAACTGAGAAAATCTCAAGTTGATGGTCTGGAGTTTAATCTCCACCAAAGCCCAGTCAAGCAAAAACATCACCAGCACCTCAGTTGGATGGGACTCCTTAACCTTGGATGGCAACTCATCTAAGATAA